AATTTTCAAACCTTTACCAGAAATTTTCTGCTTGAGAAATTTTGCAAGTGATTTTTCCGGAGTGCCTCCTCAACAGACCAGACGATGTGGAGAGTCGGTTTTTGGCTCATTTTGAACAGAAGAGTGTGCTTTAGTTACTGCAAAAAAATTACATTTTTCTTTGACGAAGGTTTTTGGAGATTTTGATCAATTTTCAAACCTTCACCAGAAATTTTGCAAGCGACTTTTCCAAACTGCCCCCTCCCGAAACGGGCGGCGACCAAAACGTGATTTTCACCCCCCGGGCAGACAAAAAGTCGCTAAATTGCCAGCAAAACTTTAAATTTGTTTTCAGCCCCCGAAAATTCAAACTTGCCCTTGTTGCAGATATTCTACGTGCTGCTGCTTCTGCTGGCGCTGCTGGCCCTTCTAGGGCGGCCCCGCGGGTTGCCGCCCGGTCCCTGGGGTCTACCCCTGCTCGGCTACCTGCCCTGGATCGACCCTAAGGCGCCCCACTTGACGCTTGCGCGATTAGCGCGCAAGTTCGGCCCCATCTACAGCCTGACCCTAGGGCGAGTGTGCGCGATCGTTTTGACCGACCCCCGTACCATCAGGAGGCTGCTGGCGAAAGATGCCACCAGTGGTCGCGCCCCCCTGTATGTTACCCATGGAATTATGCATGGATATGGTGAGTGTTTTTGCGTTTTTTTCGGTTAATGATGCAGAGGAACCACCTGTTGAGGGAACCTGAAGGTCGGCCAGCAGCTAGACGAATCTAATGGGCGGGTTGTTGACCAGACTGGCGGGTTGCGCGGAACTTTTGGAGCGGCCCCGGTAGTTTGGGCGTGGTTTTTTTTTTTTCCGGTAAAGGTTGTCCCATTTTCGTGCATGCAATTAAGTTTCTTTTGCGCGGCTCGGCCGAGAGAAGAACGAATTCATTGTTTGGCTGTTGGGTCTTCTGATCGAGCTGGGAGATTCTTCGTGATGGGCCCGTCACGATTTGGCTCATTTTCAGGTCATTGTGACGGTTTACATTCGTTTGCTCGCTTTGCCTGATTATTAGTGTGGTTAGTGTCATTGCGAGGAAGACGTTTCGGCCGTTTCGTCGGCCATCAGGCGGGGAAGTGGCAGGTTTTGGCCGGGGTTTGCGCAGTGTTGCACCACTGTGCGGGGCGGTTTTTCGCTTTTTTGGGTGGGGGGTTCGATGGGGTTGTCCAGGGAGGTGGATGGGCGGGGAGTTGGGTTGGGCAAAGGGGCAGGTTTCGCCGCCGGGGCTTCCCCAGGTTGGCCTTAGGGGTTCAGGGCTTTTTGCGTTTTTCTCGGAAATGGGGCTTCCGGAGGGAAAATTTCGTTCTTGGGGAAACATCCAGGATTTCCACTTGAGTCCAACGGGGAAGTTTCACTGTTGTCTGACTAGGGGGTTTGGAGCAATTGGGGAAAATGAGGCGCAAAAGTCCCGACATTTTTCCAAAACTGATCGCTGGTGCAATTTGGCGTGCGCCACTGGTTAGAGGGGGCCATTCGCAGTAAGACTGGTGGTTTGGGGTTTTTCTCTACAGTGACTTTTAAGCGAGCCACGGGGGATTTTTGGCAAAATTTCCTAAATTTGAGGACTTTTTCAAAATTTCCTCCAAAACAGTGCCCTGCTTCAAAAAATGTTGTTCTTAATAAACAATTCGAGTTCCCCAACTGGATCTGACCGCATGGTTTTCAAGGCTTTAGAGCTTTTGGTTTTCGAGCCAATGGCGAAAATGTGGCGCCAAAAATCCTGCAATTTTCCCAAAAATTACCGCTGGTGGAGTTTCGCGTGCGCCACTGGTTGGAGAGGGTCATTCCCTAAAAAAACTGTGATGGACGGTTTTTCTCTCAAAGTTATATTAAGGGCGTTTTTGGGGATTTTTTGAGTTTGTGCGGGATTTTTGTGGAATTTTTGGAAATTTGGCAACATTTTTCGGCTTTTGGTATCACGATTTGACAGGTCACGCCGTCAAACGTCTAAAACAGTAAATCAAGCGGGAAAATCTGCGCAGGTTTCGAAACTGGGCCATCTTCAGGTTGGCACTAAAGGATTTATCCGAATTTTGGTCAGATTTTTGGGTTTTTTCTTAATTTCTCGAAAACCGTGCTTCGCATCAAAAAACATTGTTCTGCATAAAATATTTGGCTGGTCGAAGTGTATTTGAGGGCGTGGTTTTCACAGTTGCAGAGTTTTCGGTTTTGGAGTAAATGGCGAAAATGTGGCGCCAAAAATCCAGCAAAATTTCCAAAAATAACCGCTGGTGGAATTTTTCATGCGCGACCGGTTGGAGGGGGTCATTCTCTAAAAAAACTGTGGTGGACCGTTTTTTTTTCAAAGTTATACTAAGGGAGTTTTTGAGGATTTTTTAAGTTTGTGCCGGATTTTTGTGGAATTTTTGGAAATTTGACAACATTTTTTGGCTGTTGATATCACGATTTGACAGGTCACGCCATCGAACGTCTAAAACAGGGAATCAAGCGGGAAAATCTGGGCAGGTTTCGAAACTGGGCCATCTTCAGGTTGATTCTAAGGAGTTTTGGTCGAAATTTTGAGTTTTTGCCTAATTTCTCGAAAACAGTGCTTCGCATCAAAAAATTTTGTTCTGCATATAATATTCGGCTTGTCGAAGTGTATTTGAGGGCGTGGGTTTGACAGTTTCAGAGTTTTCGGTTTTGGAGTAAATGGCGAAAATGTGGCGCCAAAAATCCAGCAAAATTTTCAAAAATTACCGCTGGTGGAA